TTAGTGGAGCGGTAACAGTCACCCTCCCCCTGAACAGGTAATGCTTTTTCAGTATTTTCATACTCTTCTGATCTGTTACTTGTAGTTTAAAATGTATTAGAAAAGAAAGACCTAAGATCTGAATTGAGTGCTAAATGATGGTTATACCTGAGCAGGATGAGAGTGCAGTTGCTGAATGTGTTGTGCCGTAAATGCTTCTCCCCTTCTTGTTCTTGTGAAAAGTGTAACTTGGGCAAATAGTGACTCAGTGACATCCTGAGGCATCGATGTTTGCATTTCATTGGTTTTTTGGGTGGTTGTCACTTTGAAGTGCGCCAGTCGTCCAAAGTACATAAGTTTGAAAAGCATCTGTTCCTGAATGTTTCAGGAGTTTTTTGTTGTGGTTTTTTTTTTTTTTTTTTCTTTTCTTTCAGCCTGCAGTTTGAGGATTCCTGTGAAAGGTATTTAGAAAGTTTGTGGTCAGCAGGCTTGAGTTCATTGTACAAACTTTAAGTCTCCTTTGGAAAAACGTTTGTTTGACCTCTTTTGACTTGCAAGCTTGAAAAAATCCACCCCCACACAGTGTTGCTGCAGAGGATGGTAAGAAATGTGTGTGCCGTGTTTTGTGACAGTGTGTTAGACCCAGTTTCTGACCCCTGTAGGCAGTCAGTGCACCCTTGAAAGCATAAAGATTGCTGCTGGCAGTGGTTCTCACCATGCGACTGTGAATGGTGGTACTTCTGGGTAACATCCAGTCGTGAGTGAGAACCAGCAATTGGATTTCTCTTCCAAGGATGATCACTACTGTGTGTTAACCGTGTATAAAACTAAACCTGAAAGGTTTTGACTCATTTTTATCACCTCTCCATTTACACTTGCCCCCAAACCATCACATTTTTTTGGAAGACCGGGCACGCAAGTGTTTGGTCTCTGATTCACTTTTTTAAGAATTACTTTTTTTAAAGTTTGGGGGGTTTGTTTGTTTGTTTGTTTGTTTTTTTAATAAAACCCAGTTTCTAGTACCTTTTAGTCTGATTTGGTCATGTCTGGGTATAACTAACTAGCTCTTGTCAGTGAAGACTTTTTGATTAGCTTGCTTCGTTAAGCTGGTATATTTTTATTCAAGCAGTCAGACATAGGAATTTCATGGCAATATCTGAAAAAACAGGTAATTTCTTCCAGAATCTCACTGAGAAATTGGGGAGGAATCTGCAAAAGGTGGGGATAGCATCATTGTCTGTTTGTGGGAATCCCTCAATGGGAGGAGGTTTCCCCAGCCTGGGCAGAGTGGTTGGTATGGCTGCGGTGGGGTTGTCCTCTCAGAACTGTCCGGTAGCCCTCGGGTCCTTGTCATTTTTTTTTTCCTCCTTTTTGTCTCTGGTTATGACCCTGCCTTTCCGAAGGAGTTTTCCTAAGGCTCTGTCCTTACTTGGAGGTGCAGACCTCCAAGTAAGATGTGCCTTTGCTTTTCAGTGGTTGCTCCAGCTGCACGTGGTCTTTACGTGCTGCTCTGGCTTAGTAGCGTACGGTGGCTGGGTGGTGGAGGAGGCAGGTAGGCAGGCAGAGGATAAGGGACCCCTTTTGCTTTCTGCTGGCTGTTTGCTGCTTTTATTGAATTCTTCATCTGTTCTGCTTGTTCCCACTCAGCAGGTCTCATGCAGATACACAGAGCTGGACCTCGTGAGCAGAGAGACTCGGCTTTCCTTCTGGGAGTCTGAAATGCACAAATGGTTTTGCTCTGTCTTTGCCTCTAATGTCGCAGTCTTGAGACTTAGTCGGCGCCGTTGTTAATTATCTGTAGTGGAAGATTGCTGGATACCAGCTATTCTACTTCAGCTGAGTACAGTAAAAGAAGGAATTGCTCAGACTGATAGTATATTAATATGGGGAAAAAAAGCATGCTATATGTTAATTTGCTTGAATATCTCAGACTCTAAAACATCTCTCTCAGTGAAGCACTGCTAGGTTGGCAAAGCAGAAGGACGGTATCTGCTGTTCAGAAGTCAGGGATTTTAGGCTCTACCAAGTGTAGAGCATTATGCATGTGATACAGCATCTCATTTTCACATCTGTAGTAAACATTCATGAAAGATGGATTCCTTCATGTCCAGTAAAATCACTTTCTTACCCATAAAATCAGAAACTTATTTTATTTTCAATTTGAATAACTGTGCCAAACCAGACATTTCCTGGAAAATGACACATACAAATACATTTCTATGTAAATGTGCTTACTGAGCTGATTTGCTTCTCTCTCCTCCAAAATGCATGCATGTGTGTATCTATGACAGAAAGTTAAACAGTTTTTATTTTTAAACTGATGAGAGAGGGAATATCAATGTTGCAACTGAGGTAATGTTTTGGGTCTGCACTATTCGGATGGAAGATCCTTCTGTGTGTTTCATCTCTTTCCTCTTCCTTTGCCTTTCCTTCTGTTAAGTATAAAAATATATTCCCAATTAACATAAATTATTTAACGGCAAACAACACTGGATTTTCTAGAGAGAGCAATGTATTGAAGTCAAACATGCTTTAGTGAAATCAACGCTTTCTTGCCTGTTTGGTTTAATAGCTGAGAACAGCGGAAGAGTTGCTAAGGCTGCTGGATTTGTGTACTCAGTAGGTGTACTGGCATTCATTTGACATGTTTTTGCACCCGTGCTTTAAGCTGCATGGTGAACTAATCATTCTTCTTTTGAACAATATAGTTGGTTTACCTCTAAAAATTTTAAACTAGTCCTATATATTTATCCAGTATTTAAATTCTGGTGCAAGTTGTTACTGCTGATAACATGGACTACTTTCTCTATTTCTGACTGCTAGGAGGAAAATACCAATTATTTTATTCAAGTAACACTTGGAATGATGCACTATGTCTTGCAGTGCTATGTTTAGTAATTTTTCCGTGTTTTCAAGTGTACCAACTAATACTTTTACAGTGAAGAACAGGATATGAATGAGTTCATGACAGGTTCTGATACACGTTTTTCGAAATGCAGTATTTTACTCCAGTAAGTGAAAGTAAAAGAATTATCTTTTTCTTAGCTAATGTGGCGGTGCTGATCATCCCCATTTTCCACCTCTCATTTTTGCCACCCTGGAGATCTGTGGTTCTTGGTTTTCAGGGAATCTGTGTAAGGCGAGGTGGCTCTGTGCTTCTCAGGCGCTCCTCTTAGGATGGGACAGCAGGGGAATAGTCTGTGCAGGATGTACATGTTTCTGCAGTTCTTAGCTTTGTACTGGAAAGTTGTGCATCTCTATGTGTGTGTTTGTCTACTGCATCTTGATTTTTCTTGCTTTACAACAAAAATGCATGGCTCCTCCCATGCCTTTGCTTTTTCTGTTGGCCTTCCCTCAGCTCTGCGTGGCCCCGTGGGTGTCCACTGGAGCTGTGCTGCATGTGTTGGCTTGCTCCATAGCTGAGGTTTCCTCAGGCGAGAAACTCCGGCCTCGGGTGTCAGACCTGTGCAGCTATGCATGCTTTTTTTGGGTTTCTTTTTTTTTTGTGTGTGTGTGTGTGTGTACACGAAGAGACAGCATTTTCAGGAAGCCACGTTTTAGGGTCCATGTATATCCTGCCCCCAAAAGTAAACAAATTCACAAACTTTTCAAATTAACAAATAGATTTGAAACCTTCACCAGTCTGGCAGTGTTGTACACTCCCTGCTGAGAAAAATTGAATGCAAAGAAGGGATTTTTGCAGAGGGTGTGTGTGCACACTTAGGTATAGGTGAGCTGTTGAAGAACTTACGTGCTGGACATACAGTAGAATCAGCATTTCTGGTACCTGCTAACTGCTGGCAGCACCTTCTTCCCCTGTGATTACAGTGTGTGTCCACATGTAAACCCTTTGAGAGTTGCTACCATTTATTAATTTTTAAATACATCACAACCTGTGAATTTCACCCATAGGTAAGAAGTTGGTTTATTTAAGAGCATGCACCTTGAGAGACTGTACAATATATTAATAGTAAATTTACCCATTTCAGATGTAGTTAGTGTCTTTTGATGCATCCGTGTTTGCTGTCTCTTTGGTCCTTCTGTGCTCATTTTTGCTGGCTTTTGTCTGCAGGAGCGCAAAAAGACAAAAAGCTGATCTCAGTTTACAAGAGAGCAATCTGTTACAAACTGTGTTCAAGATTCCCAGTGGAGTTTGAGGATTCATTGAGCTAGGTGCTGTTGCACTCGTTAAGACCAGACTTTATAGGATGAATATGGGCTAGTTCAGACAGAATTGCAACTGCCCTTTGTTCCCGCTTTTCTGTTAAGATGGAAACATCTTTCCACAGAAACAACCCAAGTCTCATTAGCAACCAGTAGTACCCTTGGTACTGCTCATTCATTAAAGCAAGGTTTTTTATTTCTGTTAGGAGCAGAGAAGGCTGCTGAGGATCAAATCAAACATCACTTAATACAATTTACCATTGAAATCAACGGAGTGTCTGCTAATTTTTTTTATTATTTTTTAGATTATCCTTACAGTAATTTGGTTCAATCTGATTTATTTATTTATAAGCTTGGAACTGAAAAGCTGAAATAGTATTATCAGAGGGAATAAGTTGAAACTACGCAAATTTGGGAAGCAAAGTGCAAATTACTCCTGAAACAGTGAGACTAAGTTTATTTTCTGAGTAGATGAGATAACAAGGAATTTATCCTCTGTCTGTAGACCAGTGTTGTCTGATTAGCTTTTTGGGTGGAATATATGATAAAAGGATGGCTGGTTTGTTCTGTTTATTGCAGATTTTCATTATATTGTTAGGAATATCCAAGACTTTCCCCTCAATAAGCTTTATGTACAGTATGACATGGCCTTTCTTTGTCCTTCAAATGGAAATACCTAGAGAGCATGCCTTCCTTGCTCGGTGTAGTCCCTTCAGCTGAGAGCTGTTGTGTTATTGCAGTAAAAGTTTCATTTTGTGTAGAAAACAGCGGTAGCAGAGGATGCAATATAACCTGTCTGTTTTAATTTGCAGGTTTCCACGCTGTTGTGGTTCTTCGAGTTTGTTTTTTTTCTTGAAATGGTAGGGCTAGGAAACAGCTGCCGAGGGATGAAGTCTCCACCTCTTCTCGTGGCTGCGCTCGTGGCATGCATCATTGTTTTGGGTTTCAATTACTGGATTGCAAGTTCTCGCAGTGTGGATCTGCAGGTAACTTTCCTATTGCTCTGCCTGCCCTCTTGTATTTGTGTGTTTAATAAACATAGTCCACAACAAGAAGGATGCTTCCCCTGCATGTGATGGACCAGGAGCTTCAGCTTGTTGTAGGAATTTTCACCAATATTACAGTTTTTGCTTATCAGTACTGGGAGGTGGGGGTAATGGGAGGAATGCCTGTTTGTAGGTGAGGGGGACCCAAAACTTGGAAGACCTGCTTGTATGGTACTTGTTACTTCTGCTCACACAAAGTGTTCAGCTATCTTACGCTGTTTCATTTTACAGATGTGGCAAATGCCATCCTCTTGTTTTTCTTCCTAAGTGTGCATTGAGACTGGCACTCCATTTTTAATCTGAATGGGCATCTGCAGTTTGCTCATCTCCCTAGATTTTTTTCTTACATGACCCGTAAGGATGTATGCATGCTTTCCCACCAAGTAGAAGGAAGTCTAGCTTGTTCAGAAACAGTGTCTAAAAATCTGAATTTGTGTTTCTTAGAAACCTTTCCTAAAAAGGGCATGCAACTCACATGGAATAATTACCTTGTCTGCTATTTTTCTAATGGTACCTCTATTTTCTGTGACTGTTCAGCTTGGGTTTTAATCCTTTCTGGAGCATGCATTCTGAAGTTGAGAAGTACGTGAATAAAGTTTCTGGTTTGTGACAGGGTGTGCAGGATGGTTCTTTTTTTTTTTTCTTTTTTTTTTTGTTTTTAACAAGAAAACCGAAAAACTAACAACCTGGTGATTAAACATGGCTGATGAGAACTCCTCGCAGGTTTTTCCACTGAATTTGTATCATCTTTGTAGTTGAGCCGAATTTTAGTACTGAATTTACAGTCGTAGGAATTGAACTCCTGTTTCAGCTCAGAGTGGGCACTGTTCAAACAGGACACATGCCTATGGCCAGGCGGTTAAGGGTGTGTCTTCCCTTTCCTTTGATGGAGGGTATGATGCCCTGTCTTCTGAGACTCTGATCATCCCTTGTTTTCCCTTTAGTCAGTGGCCTCAGGGTGGTGGCTGCCAGCAGGTAGTGTCAGTATTGCTGAAGCTTTGTTGCGTGGCCCTGAGGCAGCTTATAGCAAGGAAAATAAGCTACCATGCTAGCCTATTCTTGATCTCCATAACCTAGAGACATAAGATCTTCTTTACTGTTATTGATTTACTGTATCATCTTGTACGTTTCTCCGAAAGTTAGTGTGAAAATTGTTTCACTTCTGCGTAGTCGTGCACTCTGAATGAAATAAAAGCATAGCCGAAGGCACGGATGGAGCTTCTAAAGCGCTCTGTCAGCCCGTTTGTTTGTTGGCAAGACTTGGCAGCTGTTAGGACTGAAATGGAATAAGTGCTTTTCTTTGTTCTTCTACCTAAACTGCAAGTGTTTTTCCTTCCCCCTGCCTCTCTCCTCCC